AAAAAAAAAAAAAAAAAAAAAAAATTAGGAATTAGGGAGACCAAGCCAAGACATCAGTAGAAATAAAAGTGGAACACTGTTGTGAATCTGGGCTCACACTTTAGGATGAATAGACAGAAATAACATGAAGATGCCAAAAAAGCACAGAGTTCTTACTGCAGTCTTATTAGAGATGGGTGGGAATTTTTCATTATAATGGGGAAAAGTGGAAAATTACATTAGTATGCAAAAGTCTGTTTCTTTACCATGCCAAGAGTCAGTAAAAGGAGATTGCATTGCAAATTGAAACAATCCACATTCACCCAATCAGAAGAGAGGCATTTTCAGACAAAGCCCACAGCACTCCCCTACTCCAGAAGTAGGAGGCAGTGTCTTCAAGGAGACTCTCGCAGCACACAAAGAGCAACATGGATCCCTCAGGGCAGCGGGGACAGCTTCGGCTTTGGAAATCCCAGCGCTCCATGGTGGATGAATGGGCTGTGTGGTCTTAATTTCCTCACACCCTTAGCTGGCAGGGCTCAGCCAGCTGGGGGCGCTCACACCGGTTTGACGACTGCAGCCTAGTCACATAATGGGCTATGGCGGTGTACAGCAGAGACAGTCCAGGGACCCACCCCATACTTATGTGTGAGGTGGGGATAGCAAAGAACGTGCTTCCATCTGCAGATTCTCCTGAAACGATTTAATCCAGGAGGATAAAGGCAGCAGACTTGGGACACACTGCTCGCTTTCTCTGTCTTCTCTTCTTGGGATTATCCATCAGGCGTTGCTGGTGACAGGTGTGTTAATAAGGCCGACTCCTCCAGGCGCCTGCGAAGCTGCTCTGCCCTCTTAGCATTGAGGATCTGGCTGCCACGTTGTTTCCAGTGGCCACGGGCCAGGCTCACACTAGGATCTGCACTGCTGCGCTCCCTGCAAGGTTTTGCCAGTGGTGACTAAGGCTACGTCCCACCTCTGACTAACGTGGCCATCACGTGCCTTTGAGCAGCGAACAGCCATGGGATGGCAAGATTGTCACACAGTGGTCTGCACTGTTTGTGCGTGATCTCACACTCTGTGTTTAAGTTTGTGACCACAGTAAAAAAGGACTTCATTGTCCTTTGAGAGTCACAATTATGAAGTGAAAACTGAATGCAAAATGGAGTCTCTGCTTCAACTACAGACACTAAATTCCCTGTGCCGAGGTGTTCTCTATCTGTGACCAGTCTCCTTTTAATTAAAATGCAGCCTGATAGGCAAAATGTTGGGAACATGAAGCAGTTATGTGACTCACTCAACCTTGTATGCTTGTATGACCCATTTAGCTTTTAAAATCCTATTTAAGGCCAAAAACTATATTAAAGAATTCAAACAAAAGCTCACAGAGCATCCCATAATGAGACTGTTTCGATTATTCTAGTGATTAGCCCATTTCCTCTTTCTCTAGTAATTTCATTTAGAACACTAGTCATCTGAAGAACAAGTGGATTTTTTTTATTCTTCGCTAGTTTGCTGTGAAACTGGCACATGGCCAGCCATCTGTGAAACTGCAATTATTACTATTACTTAAAACTTATCCTTCTTCAGGTGCTGTGAAAGTAATTCTCCTTGCCCACAAAGACAAAGCCTCGAAAGCCAGGAAGGAGCCTGACTTTGCACAAAAATAGGCATTGGCACTGAGTTCCAACCTGAAACCAAAACCCTGGAAGTGCTGTTTGTGGACACTGCCGGGGGGATGCCCAGCAAAGGGTGTTAGGGGTTCGCTGCTGCCCCGCACCTGCTGCTTTGTGCCCAGGAATCTCTTGTTTCGCTGGGAATCCGCATCCAGGGTCCAGGCGCTGATTTGTCATGCAGCATTTCCTGCAATATGAGTGTGTCCACTGTGGCAGTTTACCTCCAAATGATTCCAGCACAGCTGTCTCCTTCAGGCTCACACCTTTTCTTTTCTTCTACGTTTACCTGTTCATTTAGCAGCGAGTCAAGAGTGGTAGTGTCAGAGCTCCGGCAGTTGAAATTCCTCTGTCTTCTCCCGTATTGGCCATGGATGACTGAGAAGCAGGCCTGACAGGGAGGCAGTGCTGAGGCACAGCTGCTCTCGGGACGAGACCCCAGTGGTTTCGCCATTGTGAGCAGGTGGCCAGACCAGCCTCGTGCTACTGTCCTGCCTCAGACGGGGCCAGCTCTGTGCTGCCAACTGCTGTGGGGAGGGAGGTGCCTGCTTCTCTCTCAGAGCCAGGGTGACCATGTTTCCAGGTCCAGACCAAGTCTGTGCTGGTGTTGGACACAACTACAGCCAGTCTCAGCCCACATAAGTGCCCTGGTCATGAGCTGCGCACTCAGCCTGCTTGATGCTCTATTGTAGCTCTTGCATCTAATTAGATGAACCTCACATGGACCCCCTCAAGTTCTATTCCAGAGACAATCAGTTGCTAATTGTATATACTCTGTATGTTACAGTATTAAGAACAAAGAAAAATGGTCAAAGGAAACTCCAACTTGATGACTTTGCTTCTATTTGCACAACTTTATATGCAGCACTGTAATGGATAACAGGACATAGAACTATAGTATCATACAATACAATAAGCAAAAATTACAGTTCTATATAAACAAGGTGTACTGTACTAAAAAGACATCAAGGTTCTATGAACATGATGAACAGAACTGTACCAAGAAAAAAAGATGGGTTATAAATCTGAAGAGTCGTTAAAGAGGACGACGTCTGCATGGGTTAGCCGGTACCAGGAGGTTGGGGCAGTGCACGCAGATCACTTCCAGCAAAGTAAAGGAGCAGCTGCCTCTTCCCAGCAGTGATTACGGCATCATGGGGTTGCCTGGGTGCTGACACTGAGGGTGGATGACAAGCTCGTTTTTGTGCTTTTGCAGAGTTCTGTGTCATCCCCCTCAGCCCTAATCTCAGAGCGCATTCCCAGGGACCCTCTCCACTTGTCGTTAGTTTTCCTGTTAATCGGGCTGCAATGAGTCCAGAAGCGACCTGTCCAGACATCTGAGGACAATGGCCTGTCCTCTCAGGCACTGGTGAAGGCTATCTGGAGAAGCAGGGCGTTCAGTGGTACTATAATGTTTTTTAGTTAAATATCTTTGACCACACCGAGAATAAGGGGCCGAGAACCTGCCTGGCAGTCCACAGTGAGCCCTCTGGTTGTGTTTGCAGAAAGAAGAAAAAGGAAAAAAAAATGAGGAAAGGAAGGAATAAAGAAAGGTCAGCGTACATGGTGAAGAAGGTGCTCTCTAAACTCAAAACATCTTTTCAAGTCACAAAAGAATAGTTCACAGCCTGAGCCTCAGCCTGAGGACCAAACATCGAAAGTGATTTTTTTTTTTCAGTTCTCAGTGCATTTAGGTGGGCATTATGATTTCTTCCTTTCTAAGAAAAGGAGTCTTATGGTAAAAACTTTCCTCAGGAAGAGTAGGCGAAAAGAAGTCTTGTAGCACATCTTTTCCTATGCTTTGTGTTTACCATTGAAAGGCCTCAGCATTGAATCAGATGCACTTGAGGCTTCCGTGCACTGATACAGACAAGGTCACTCCACACTTTAGGGTCGGTTTCCCTGGGAAACGTGGAGACAAAATAATAAGTTATAGCCTCCTGCTGAATTTCAGGGTTTGGTATTTTGCCTCATATTCATAGCTATGGTGTTTATTCAACTGCTTCCTTGCCTTAGCACATCAAGGGCTTTCAAGTATTTAGGAAACCCAGTTTTTTCTCTTAAGAAAATTATAATTCTGTGGGAGGAAAAGATAGAACATGACCTGTACATTTATTGTCCATGCTAACTGGACCCTAATCATTTGGGATTGCTGGACATTCAGACATAAACTAGGCTGAAGTTCAACTTTATTTCATCTTTAATCAAAGAGCTTACAAAATAAAACTAAACAATCCTTTAGAGAGAGATTTACATTCTTCGAAGAAGTATTTTTCAACAGTGGGTCGCATTTTTTCATGCAGTCTGTGACATACGTGCTGCTCTGGTGCTTTAGGGGCGACTCGAGCGCCTCCCAGAGCACTTGGTGTGTGGCTGTTCTCTTTAACCTGGGAAATTTGCGCTTTTCTTCAAAAGCGATTGTGAACGTATATCTCAGACACAGTCACGGGGTCCATCTGCTGTGGAAAGTCTGACGGTGAATACAAATCACACGAACGTGAGTGTGTGTGGAGCCTGCTGTAGGTGCTCGGGGGAGAGTGGATCCTGGGAGTCAGGGTTCTGGCAGAAACGTGCGGTGCTGGGCAGGGGCAGTTCCTTTTAACCTGGGAAATTTGCGCTTTTCTTCAAAAGCGATTGTGAACGTATATCTCAGACACAGTCACGGGGTCCATCTGCTGTGGAAAGTCTGACGGTGAATACAAATCACACGAACGTGAGTGTGTGTGGAGCCTGCTGTAGGTGCTCGGGGGAGAGTGGATCCTGGGAGTCAGGGTTCTGGCAGAAACGTGCGGTGCTGGGCAGGGGCGTCCCTGCTTTACAAATGCTCTGCTCTGGGGAAGGCACAGTGCTCGCAGAACTTGCTTCTTCATGAGAAACCCCAGGGTGCATTTATTTTGTTCTGCGTGTGTTCCAGCAGTGGGCTTGGTGCTGTGTGAGTGTACCCAGGTAATTAATTTTGCAAATGACAGATGTGTCTGATTTGGCTTTTCGGAGCTATCCTTTGGAGACCGGCTGTGCCGTTCCTAATTTGGAAATATTTTCTTGCTGGTTTGTATCTTGACCTGTACCCGACTATCTGCTTTCGTTGCTATTTCTAGAATCCCAAGAGAGCTGCTTCCTGGTTGTCATAGTGCGGAAAACACTCAAGAAATCCAAGAGCTCGGTGCTTTCGTAAAGCATTTATTTTTATTTGAAAACATTATACAGGCATTACATTGCCACAGCCAGTCCAGAGGGGAGCATGCAAATATAAAAAAGCAGACAGTTTGTTGAACTTATTGGTGTAATTTTGTTTTTTGGTTCATATTTTTCCATTTGCGTCGTCAGGATTAGTGTGCTTTGTTTTGTAGCTGAACAATAGAATCCTACCCATGGGGTAAAATCTGTACTGGTAACTAGCTGGGACTACTAAGTGGTTACAAATCAAAAATAACCAAAACAAACAATACTACACGCTTGTCAGAAGGTTAATAGCACAAGTTAGCAATACCTAAACTAAACATCCAAACATTTCATGGGACATAGTGGTGCAAACCGTCCCCTTGCTTGGTCTCCCAGTCTTGCGTGAGTCTGGAGCCTGGAAGGTGGGACCAAGCGCAGACTTGTGAGGAGGTGAGCACCACCACCTCTCCGGGGTGGGCGGGCTTCAGGACAGCCCGAACACGTTGCATACAGATCTCGAAAGTCTTATCTTGTAGAGGAGAGTGTGGAGGTGGACTGAAAAGCTGAAATTTTTGCTGGTTTCTACTGTTATGAAATCTCAGAAACTAAAACTGCTAGAGTTAAGATTGCCCTATTCCCACTTCCCTCCCCACTCCCAAAGGATCGACGTTTTTACACAGAAAAAGAACTTGTCCTTTGCTACCGTAATTCCCCTTTATGTGAGCCTGGAACTCCTGACCATGGACAGCTCGGTACCTTTCCAGCCTTTCTAGAGACACACTGGCACGGCAAGGTGGCCTGGGGATGCGAAGGCCGACTACCAGGATGCTATACAACAGAGGGCACATGGCGGACTCACCTTGACCCTCACTCTCGGTTTCCACACAGCAGTCTGTCGACACCCAGAGTAACTTAGACAGCAGCCGTTAGCCACTGGTCAAGCGCAAACCTTTGGAAATTTGAATTAAAAAGAAAATTCCCAGTCCACTGAGTGGACTTAGAAATTGTTCCAGCCACTTGCTTCTCATAAGACTTTACTAAGTGTCTACAAATCAGTGTCATAAAAATGAATCCAAAACACAAAAACATTTGGCTTAAAATAAATACTAAAAATGAAATAAGTCAAGCAAATTATGCAAACCAAAAGAATGTAAACACAAAAATAAAACCACAATCTTTAAAGTTCTTCAGATCTGAGTGGAGAAAAAAATTCAGAGAAAGGTATTTAACTGGTTCTTAAGGAGCAGGGAGCAAGGCTGTCTTGATGTGACTGACACCAGGTTGAGGCCACAGCAGGTGGAACCTGTTTCTAGGGGCAGAAGTGATCACGGGATCTATGTGTCAGAGAAGAGTTTCTCTCCCATCTTGCGAGGCAGGACGACTGCCTGCATGGGGGTTCTCAGAAAGGCCACAGGAGTGCTGGCATGGTGAGGGCTGCTTGGCCTGCGCTCCAGGCCTCGCTCTGGCTCCACACCCCGATCTTTCTCTACCCATCAGTGTTCTGCATTGTGTGCTCACCTAAGAGGCCTTGATCTGCATTGCTCAAGGAGGTATGAACCCTGTGCAAGCCCTAGAGCCCACCAGAGACCCTTGGGCGTGGTGTTCAAATCAGCCAAGCCTAATGCACGTCACACCCTGACTCGCGGTCTGCTGAGTGACAGAGGTCAGTGGTTCTTAGTTTCCTGTGTTTGAATAAAGGTGCTGTTTAAGGGCACTGGGCTGGGCTAGTGACACACTGCCCAAGGCTTGTGGGACCCTGTGGTACTCTGCACCATGAGGGTGTTGTGTCAGTACGTGCTGCTGTCAGATGGATGTCAAATGTGATCACCTTGCCAGATTTTTTCAATGGTGCCGCCTTTACCACCACAACTGGGCCATCATTGGGTGGGTTCCACATCGGCACTGTGGCTTCGGGAGGTGGTGTGACCAATACAACTCCAAAATAAAGAAGATTTCCAGGCTGGTGCATTTCAAAACAGGTATTATATAAGTAAGAGGATAGAGGAGCATGGCTTTTTTCTGTGCCTTGATTAATTTATTAGACTAGAAAGTCTAGGAAATAAAAGGAAAATAAAAAGTAATTTTTGAAGAGAGGATTTAGGGAGGGCCAAAAAAGTTTGAAAGCAAATCTAGTGCTAAACACAAATGTTCCTATTTTGGGGTTTCCCCTGAGCCACAGAAATGGAACAGTCCTTGTCCTGCTGTCACGGGGACTTGATTAGCTGAATTACGTGGCCCAATGTAAAGGCAATGGCCTGGGTAATCAGAGGCTGAAATACAAAAAGGCTAAAATGTTTGCTTTAAATCTATTCCTAGAATAGAGAATTATATGGTCAGTTGCCTCTCCCCACAAGGGTCACAGCACAAAACACTTGTTGAGCAGGCAGGCAGGCGATCCAACAGGGCCAGAGATGCCAGCGGCCACCCAGGCCGGGACAGAGTACTTCTTGGGGTGGAGCTCCCTGCCCTGCATCGCTCTGTGTCTGTGTAAAAAAGAAAGTACGATCCTTACAAAGAGTAGGACTCGCCATAGAAAAGTGGGGCTCCTGTGGGCTACGTGGGGGTCTGGCAATGGTCCCAACCAGGAGTCCAAAGGCCCTCCTGAAAATCGGTACACAGTAGTCATACAGATCAGAACAGCGAGGACACTGATGTCACAGCAGTTGGTGCAGGGTTGACGGGCAGCCATCTGAGTGCCTCTCAGGCAGGTGTACAAGCCTGGGCCCCAGCGGCCCTCAGCAGGTGCCCTCCAAGCTCCCAGACTCGCTACCTTGCAGGCCACCTGTGTGAGCTGCACCCAGTAAATACCTTTCTCTATGTACAACACGGAGATGACGGCGGACAGGGCCGTGGCCTAGGCCATGTGCACATGGGGCTCCTCTTCGGTCTCCTGGCCCAGGCTGGTGTAGGTGACCGAGGGCTCCACCTGGGCTGCGGCGGGCAAGTCCACGGCAGGCCCCGCAGGGTTGCGGAACTGCTTGTACACGCGGGGGTCCTGGGCGATGTAGGTGGAGGTGGAGGAGTACAGCACCAGCCCGATGAGGATGGTGAAGAAAGACAGCAGATAGAGTCCGGAAAACTGAAGGACACAATGCAGAGTGGTTAGCGCACGCAGAAACCTGGTTCCCTCCCGAACGGGTGACCACCCCAGCACTCCTGATGGAAAGGGAATTCCGCTGCCTGCTCTGGCTGGGTCTTGTGGTTTCCTCATCTTTTCCTAGTCCCTGTGGCTAGCACAAGGAACACTTCCAAATGTCCCTTCAGTACCAAGCTGATTTGCTGGGGCAGCTCATGAAGCACAAATTAAAATACATCAGGTTAAAGGCAAAAGTCTCCAACACCACTCAGCAAAGAGCTGGTTGTTTGTGGCCTCATTAAACCTGGGAGAAACACTGATATTGCACTGCAGGTTGAAATGAAGCCATAAACAAGGACACCCTCACTGACCACACACTCCCCTTTCGCCTTAGTCCATGTAGAGGTTATTTGTCCTCTTGGGAGTAACTGTTATTAACGCTGGCGACTGTCCTTGGGATCCGATCACCCTTGAGGAAGAGAAAGAAGTAGTATCATTTGCCTTCCTGCTCCATCTGTAACAAAGCAGAGCAAACGAAGCTGTCTACCGCGAGCTTCTTCCTAAGCTGCATGATTGAAATTCATAGCGTTTGGGGGATGGGCATCTGTGTATAAAAGTCTCGGGAATTTACAGATTTCTTAAAGAAATTAAATATTGCATGGTTTCTCTTTATGAGAAAGTGAAACTCCAAATAAAGAGCAAAATGGATGCTGGGTAAAAGAGAGTATGGAGATCTTTTGCAAAAGGGAGGGGACCAAGAGCTGGAGGGAGAAGAGGAAGGACTCGAACAGAGGACGTAGATGGGTCCTGCACGTGTCCCACTCCCCACGAGGAACGTGGTCACTGCGTACTGCGATCGGGAACCAGAGACGCCAGCAAACGGGACTCCGGAAGCTCGTGCAGTGGCCTGGAGGGTGCGTGGCAGTTGCTGTGGCGGTTAGGGGACAGGACGGTGTGGCCACCCCTCCCGGTCCACTCATTCACTCGCTCACCGCACTGACCGCAGAGCTTCTCACAATTCCGTCTCTGCCTCCGCACTGAACTCTGCGCTGGGTGACGGGAAGTGAGAGCCGGCCGGTGCCCACCCACGGAGCCAGTCATCCCCATGGAGAGCCAGGGTCCGCAATGAACAGAACCCACAGAGCTTGCAGCGTGCAGCTCTCGTGCAAGTCACCAGCTGTTATCCTGCTGCTGACCACAGTCTGCCTCCGCGGAAAAGGCATCGACTCTGTTTTCCTATTTTGTTTTTTATGTTCATACTCTGAAAGAACCAGCAACTGGTCAAAAGACAAATATTCATAAGGAGAACAGGAGAGTGACGCAGAGAGTCTATTAAGTAAGTCAGGACTATAAGCAAAAGCTAAAGGACTCTATCATTGGTGGTTCCATAACAGGAAAGGCAGCTAAAAACCGCACGTACGGAAGGTGCCCGTGCCTAAGCGCTCCACCACAGTGCTTTTGGTCTCTGCCTCTCCCCCGTTTTCTTTCTAAGCTGATTTTCGTTCTAGGACACCCCTCGCTCTGTCCCTTGCTGCCTTGTCGTGCACAGTCCAGCCATCCGGTTACACTTCCTTGGATGGATTTATGTGCTGGACTGCACTAGCAACAGCTTCACTTAATAACTTGAAATAATTAATTCTGTTTTCCCCCATGGAGAAAAATGTGCCTTACTCTTTGACTTAAGTGATAGGGAATGAAGACCGCTACCTCCACACCCCTGTACATGATCTCAGAAAACCTGCCCGGCCCTATGTTTGCCTTCTGAAATTCCGCGTTCAGCAGCTTCACCCTTGCACTAAAGCTTTGTGCATGAAATGGTGTGTTCCACACACTACAATCACCTCGGCTCTTTTGTGAATTATTTTCCCTTTTGAAATCTCATTCAGGGTTCAGTTTCAAAGGAGCAACCTTGTGTGGTCTCCTGTGTGAGCTGCCTCCATCGCAGTGGATGGGGGACGTGACAAAAGCGGGCTTGCGTTGCCACCGCGTTTTAACCGCAAAGTGGGTTCACATCCCAGCTCCCTTCTCTCTTGCTGTGACCCCGCCGAGCCCCCTGAGCTTTCTGGCCTGAGCGTCCATATCAGGCAAGTGCACTGCCGGGTGGGGTCAGGGAGAGGATGGGACAGAGCCTGGGCCCCCAGTCACCCTGGCTTCCTGTGGGTACACCCTGCTCTCACGTGGCTGCCAGGGCCGTGCTGTGGAAGGCAGCCAGGAACGAGTGGGGAGCCCACCGCCAAGTGTTTTCCAGGGATGTTACTCTAGAAAGACAACGCACACCTTATTCTTAATACGTTTCTCTGTAATTCTAGTGATCCATTTTTGGAACACCTATAATGACGCAACACAATGAAATGTTTTCACATTCTTGTTTCTCCGGGTAAAATATATATTTCATGCAAAAAATTTGAAAAATTTCAGCCTTTGGCAAAAATGGGTTCATTCGCATAGAATGCACCCTAAAATTGCTCACGAGATAGATTAAATGGAATTTTATACAGGGGAGGCATCTTGAAAGTTGCCTGAGAGGTTTTGTTAACAGACGGTACAGAAAGTTTTCATTTCCCCAAAACAGAGCAGGCCGCAAGCACTAGGATTAATCAGGATCAATACTGGATAATTCAAATGATGGCAGAAAGGTTTATTTTTAAAAAGCAAGGAAAGTTTCGATTCCCCAGTCTTTTTAGCTTAACAGAAAAAAACTAAGCGAGGGGAGCAAACAGCCCCCACCCCCACCGCACTCCAGCTGTGCCCTCATCTTGCAGAGCTTTGGTCTCAGAGCCACAGACACGGCTCCGGCCGTCTGGGTTGCTCAACTTTCTGACAGCAAAGAAACACTCAGCCCCATCCCCTGAGCTGAGGGCCAGGACCATCTTGGGGTCACTGGGTGAGGACAGTGAGGTGAGGCCCGTGCCTCCAGGGGTCGGGCCTGTGTGCACCCTGAGCTCTCCGGGGCCAAGCGAGCCTGCACCCTGGTCTTGGAAAGACACGCACCGTCCAGACAGCACCGTGACACGGACACTGTGCTCTGCTCCCATCTGTTCCGTCCTCACGGTCACTGTGGGAAGGATCAGCACAAGCCCTGCACGTGACAAGAACCCCGTGCAGCTCACAGCCCTGTGCCTGGGACGGTGCGGCATGGACCTGGCTGGCGGGGAGGCCGGCAAGGAAACTCACAAACCTGACTGGAGCCAGGGGTTGTAGCTGCCTGTCCGACAGCTGGCCCAGCAGTGGCTGTGGAACATCATTAAGAACAGAAAGTTTTTCATTTTATTTTTGGCATGAAACATCTGAATTGAATTTTAATAAACTAATGACTTTAATGGACTGAAAGCTATCTCTGTAGGAAAAAGCACACAGTTTGGAAGTCATTTCAAGGTACATTTATAAAAATGCCAACGCAGTGTCTGAGGAACAGGGCAATTTCTCAAGGGCAGCTTTCTTTTTCTCACTTGACTGAAGGGCAGAGAGTCACAGTTTGGAAACAGAAAGCTCAGAGGGAGCCTGCTGGGCTCAGCTGGGCCCCAGCTATGGGGCTTTGGCAGGGCCCAAGAAGCCCAGCCTATGGACGGGAGGTCACGGCTCTCGCCGCTCTCTCCCCTCCTTCCCTTCCCTCTTCTCCCTGCCCTCACGCTCTCTGTCCTGGCACCGGGCAGCAGCTGTGCTCCACCCGGCCGCTGTCCCGATGCATGGCCTCCCCACAGGCCAGATGCTCGGCTTCATGGAACCGGGCCTGGAGCCCTGAGCCAGAGTGAACCTTCCCTCCGTGAAGCCAATTTCTCAGGTGTTCCATCACAGCACAGAGAGCGGGCGGCAGAGGGGCACAGAGCGGACTGAGGAGGATGCTGGCTTGTGCCTGCGGAGAGGTGGGCATAGCTTCTCCGCCTTCCGTTGGAGGAGACACCCGAGTATTGCTGCTGTGTGACAGCTTTGGACATGGCTTGGGGACTGCCTGCCACATACCTCCGCCTGCACACAGGAATGGTTAGAACCAACTGCCGACTTCGGATAATGCCAACGTGAAAGACTCTTAGTCCTTCAAAGGGATGCATGGCACTTCACAAGAAAACAGATCCAGTGGAAAGAAGGAACTGTTATTCTGGAGAGGCAGGAGGAGGAGAGGGAAGGGGTGGAGTGGGCTGTGCATGGCGGGGCTCCCGGAGTTATCTGAGAGAACAGAGCGAGATCACACCTGGAGAGCCGGCGCTGGGGAATACCAGAGCTGCAAGGAGGAAGAAAACCAGGTCAAGTGAGGAGGAAAGAGCGTTAAAGGGAGTTCTTCAACAGCCCGGAGAAGCGGAGACTGCAGAACTCCATAAAAAAAAAGATTTTGTCTAAATTGCATTCTGTACGCCCCCTCATTTTATACTTGATGTGTGTATGAATGTAGGTGTGTGTGTGCATACGTGTATGTGTGTGCGTGTGTGTGTATACATGTGTCTTAGTATGTGTGTGTGTGTTTTGTGGTGCTGGGGAATTGATCCCGAGACCCTCACACTCAGTTACACCCTCAGCCCTTTGTCATTTTGTATTTTGAGTCAGGGTCTTGCTGGGTCCCCGCACTGCATCTGTCTGTCCGTCTGTCTGTCGTCTGTCTGTCTGTCCGTCTGTCGTCTGTCGTCTGTCTCTGCGCCCTGCTCTGATCCAGGCCTTCGCTTGGATGTTGCAGTACTCCACAGACGGGACGAGTGGGCGGCTACGACCATGCTTCCCTTTCCAGCCCTCATTCTGTTTGTTCTCTTCAAAAGATACCAATGTCATCAACGCTTCCTTTATTTTTAACTGTTTGGCATAAGTCCTCTCTGAGCGCAGAGACGGAAATGCAGAACGCTAACAGATGTTTCTGCTGTCAGCAGTGTGGGGAGAGTGCAGGCCACTTGGTAGCCACGGGGAACCCCCAAGGTCATGCAGCAGTCAGCCAACGGGGCTCCAGCGATACTGGGAGGGGTTTCTGTGCAGGGAAACCGAACACAACTGTGATGTGAAATATCAGATGGTCAGTGTTT